TAAAGGTTTGCTTTTTATGTTTTGATGTTGAATTCACTTTTTTGACGGCAAATTTGGGTGTACTGTTTTTTTTATGTTGGGGGTGCGGCTTATAGTCCGATGTGGCTTATATGTTAATGTTCGCGGGTTTTTTCTTAAAAATGGTGGGTGCGGTTTATAGTCCGAAAAATACGGTAAGTAAATCCAACGTTTCATTTTTTACAGTGTATTTTGTTTTTGTTGGATTTTTTGGGAAAATATCAGAGTTTTTATCAGGCCAATTATTTTACTTTTTTATTTAGTTCATTGTACAATATTCTTATGTTCAAGTTAAAAATATATGTAACCCATTCCGAATGTCATTTTTTTGCTCTACTGTTGTTGACCGTTGTTTATGGTTTGACTTGATCAAAACATTTCCCACAAAAATAAATAAATAATATAAACACTGATATCATCAGGTGAATCACTGCATCAACCAACACTCAAAGGCAGCAATGTGAGTACTGGAAGAAGAAAAAGTTGTATCAGGACACCGCTGTCATTAGAGTTTGTGTTGGGGATGACTCTCAGCTACTACCACACCAAATGTAAGCTCCAAATCTGTAAATCTGACTGAATTTAACAAACAGTGTTGACTTTAACAGTTGTAGATTCAAACAGAAAGAGTTTTWTAAAAATATGTCATTTGTGTGATATTTTGCTAACAGACTAAGTGACCCATGCAGACAGAATATTATTTTGCTTTTTGGCAAAAGGGGATCACATACAGTATGTCTCCGTCATCTTCATACTTCATACTTCTGACATGTTCTCCTGGAGGGTGTCAGAATGGTTTTATTTATGTTTTTTTTTTTCATTCAACCACAGCTTATTTCACTTGATCTGTGAGGCACTGTGCAAMATATCTGGATTATTTTTTTACAAAAACAAGCTGGGATGAAAAGAAGCTGAAGTGAAACAGAAATAAAATTATTTTTGAAATTAAAAAAAGAAAATAAGGAGTAGAAGTAAAAATTAGGAAGAAATAAAAGGTAAGGTAACAAAGTATTTGTACTTTGTTTCTTGACACGTCTGTAGTTTTGGTGTTTTGATGCATCAAACCTTAAATGTGAACTAAAACTGAAAACACGAGTACTGTTCTGTCAGAAGGACCTTTATCTGCAGCAGTTCATGCAAAACACAACAAAACAAAACAAAACAAAACAAAACAAAAATTAAAAACTGCAACTAAGCTCTAAATTATTACAAAATCTAAGCAATATGATATTTTTTCTTCACTCTGCACCCTTTTCATTCATGGCTCCATAGTTTTTTTTAAATCTGTTTTTATTTTAGT